ACCCCATAGACTGTAGCCCACCAGGCTCCTCTGTCCATGGGACTTCCCAGGCAAGAATACTGGAGTGGGTTGCCATTTCCTTTTCCAGGGGAACTTCCAGACCCAGAGATGGAACCCGGGTCTCCTGCATTGGCAGGCAGATTCTTTACCACTGAGCCACCGGAGAAGCCCAGTATTGGTGAATTTACTGTTGACTAATATTTCTTTGGGGGCTATACAGGAACATGTTTTTCCATCAATGGCTGTTTGTGCTGCTTCTAGATTTTTGCCATGGAGAACATTAGTTTTGCTCACATTGCCATATAAGTGCCACATGCTAACCAATTGCACCACTGGAGCTTCAGTGGAGAACATTAGTGGATGTGTCCCCTGGTTACACAAGGGCATGTGCCCAGAGGTAGAATTGCTGGGTTGCAGGTAATCTAGATAGAGCTCAACTGCAGTATTCAAAAGGGTCAAGTCAGCCGTTCCTTCAGTTAATCCATTGCCCAGGTGAGACAGATAAAGTTCAGGGTGCATTCTGAGATAGGCAGCCTGTACCCATGTGATATTAATACTAAATTGTGCCTGAGCAAGATAAATGTCACTGTGGATTGAATCAACAAAGCTATTAGAAATTAATTTCCAGAATGGGGGAAGGGAGATTTCAGAGAGACCCAAGTCTGTGGGACCAAGGAACAGATGTATTACGAAAGATGTGATTGGAACTGAAGTAAAGAGATAGGTAAGAGGGTGAGGTTACAGAACAAAATGTCCTCAGCGGGTCAAGATAGAGAAGGGGGTGGAGGGTGACAGTCTGTTGTAATCGCAACAATAAAAGCTTGTGTTGCCTGACAAGGGCTGAGCATCAGGTGATTGGCAGGAAATGTGTCTTCTGAGGACAGAAGCATCCATTTCTTTCATTCAGGTAGCCTATATTCTGAGCTTCCACTCTCCAAGGAGCTGGGCTGGGAGAGAGAGAGAGACAAATGCAACATCTTCCTTGCTTTTAAAATGCTCACAACGAGAAGGGAAAGGAGAGCAAGACAGAGGGGATGGGAATTAGAATACAGCAAGAGCCAAATGCCAAAAACAAGCAGGTATATTGGGAATTCCAAGAAACAGGGAACTGGTAGAAATGGGGAGAATTGAAATTTTTATGCCGAGCCCCCAACTAGGAATCGAGGAGAAAATTCTTTTAGTTAGAAAAGGTCTGATCCCTTGATCCTCCTCAAAAACCAATTTAACTCAGCCATAAAAAAGAATGAAATAATGCCATTTGCAGCCACATGGATGGACCTAGAGATGATTGTACCAAGTGAAGTCAGACAAAGACAAATAAATGCTATCACTTATCTGTGGAATCTAAAATAGGATACAATGAACTTTACAAAACGGAAAGAGACACAAAGACGTAGAAAACAAACCTATGGTTGCCAAAGGGAAAAGGGGGAGATAAACTAGGAATTTGGGATTGACAGAAATACACCGCTATATATAAAATAAAGATGTACAGCACAGGGAAAGATATTCAATATCTTATAATAACCTGGAATGGAAAATAGATTCATATACGCATATACATATAGATACTGTAAATCACTTTGCTGTACACCTGAATCATTGTAAATCAACTAGACTTCAATAAAAAAAAAAAAAGAACTGATTTATTGTTCTACCTGAAGGGCAGTCCCCAAAATACACATGATGGAGGATCATACAGAAAGGGAAAAAACAAATTACTGTTACATTCAATCACATAGATGAATAACAAAAATATTTTGCTGAGCAAAAGAAGTTAGACACAAGAGCACGTACTGTACAATTCCATTTTCACAAAGCTCTAGAACAGGCAAAATTAATCTCTGGGGATAGAAATCAGAATCTAGGATGCCTGTGGGGGAGTGGGGGGGGCTTCAGCCAGCTTGTCCTGGCTGCCTTCTGGTACCATCCTTTCCAACTTCATGGTAGTTGAAAATTAGTCTTGGTGGGAATATATACACCACAGAAAATGACAAATACTGCAAATTAAAAACCAGGGTTTCTCTCTCTCTCTCTCTGTTCCCCCACCCCCTCCTATTTCACAAGCCCATTGTTAAACATTTACCAGCACACTACTGCTGCTCGGGGCAAGGGGGATTAACTGAACAGGACACTGAGAAAACTTTCTGGACTAATGGAAATGTTTTGCTTCTTGTTTCCGGGAATGGCTTCATGGGTGTATATAATTGCAAAAGCTTAAGGAATTGAACACTCAAGAACTGTGCGTTTATTATATGTAAGTTACAGCTCAATAAAAGAAAGACTATATATGTGTATATAGCCTAAAATAAAATGATAGAGAAATCACTTTGCAGAACAGAAGGACGCTGGAAACGCCCAGATCTGGGAACGGTCATGGTGTGTTTTGAAGCTAGATGGGCATTCTGAATTTTGAATGAGTGACTGAGAATGGTGAAAGGCAAAATGAGATGCTCAGACTGGAGAAGCGGAGGGGCAGGTGTGTCTGGGAGCAGTTTTCATCAGGGGAGCGCGATGGTTACATCTTTGCATTTTTAAAGCATTGTCACATTTTGCAATTATGTTTACTTAGATTATGTAGCTATTTTTAAAAAACATTGTATCTCTCAGTGTCTAGGGGGTCTCATACTTAATTCAGTTCAGTTGCTCTGTCGCTCAGTTGTGTCCAACCCTTTGAGACCCCATGAGCAGCAGCACACCAGGCCTGTCTATCACCAACTCCCGGAGTTTACCCAAACTCATGTCCATCGAGTCAATGATGCCATTCAGCCATCTCATCCTCTGTCATCCCCTTCTCCTCCTGCCCCCAATCCCTCCCAGCATCAGGGTCTTTTCCAATGAGTCAACTCTTCGCATCAGGTAGCCAAAGGATTGGAGTTTCAGCTTCAGCATCAGTCCTTCCAATGAACACCCAGGACTGGTCTCCTTTAGGAAGGACTGGTTGGATCTCTTTGCAGTCCAAGGGACTCTCAAAGGCTTGCAAATTAACTGTTAAAAGAATGACTGCAAGAACATCCCTGGTGGTCTAGTGGCTAAGACTGGTCGCTCCCAATGTAGGGGTCCCAGGTTTGACTCCTGGTCAGGGAAGGAGATTCCACATGTTACAAGTAAGAGATCTCATGCTGCAACTTAAAAAAAGATCCCTCATCTTCAATGACGATGGAAGATCCCAAGTGTCGCAACCAAGACCTGGTGCAGCCAAATAAATAAATATGAAAAAAAAAAAAAAAGACTGCAGGGTGGCCGGACAGGAAGTGGGCAAGACTGAGCCAGGGGAACCAGGGGACCTGAGCTGAACCTAGAAGAAGTGGATCTAATCTTCCTCTCTCTATTTCTTCCCACGTGAAGATGCACCCCACCATGAAACATGCACAGGTGCTCAGAGATGTGAGCCCCCCCAAAAGCAATGTGGGAAGTCAACATTTTCCTATTTAAATGACTGTCCTTTATTCTCTCCCGTGTACTGCCTTTTTAAAATTGGTGCTAAAATCACTTTTCTTGTAAAATGGTTTAGCCATTGTGGAAAACAGTATGATGATCCCTCAAATAATTAAACATAGTGATTTCCTTGGTGGCCCAGTGGCTAAGACTCCACCCTCCCCAATGCAAGGGGCACAGGTTTGATCCCTGGTGAGGAAACTAGATCCCAAATGCCGAAACTAACAGCACAGCTAATAATAATAATGTAATTTTTATTTAATTATGGAGCTAAAGATCCCACATGCTGTAATGGACCTGGTGCCGCCAAATACTTTTAGAAAATTAAAACGTAGGAATGCCACATGATCCAACAACTCCACTTTTAAGTAGATACTCAAAATAATTGCAGGCAGGAATTTCAACAGATATTGGTACACCCTTGTCCATAGCAGCCCTATTCACAACAGCCAAAAGGGAGACACACCCAAAAGTCCATCAGTGGAAAAACCGAGAAACAAAATGTGGTCTAACCATGCAGTGGAACACTACTCAGCCTTAAAAAGGAAAGAAATTCTGACACATGCGAGAACATAAATGGACCTTGAGGATATATATGGACCTTGAAGATATTATACTGAGTGAAATAAGCCAGTCACAAAGGAAAATTACTATAGAGTGGAGGTCTGGGGAAGTCAGTGTTTCATGGGGACAAAGTTTCAGTTTGGAAACTGAGAAAGTTCTGGAGATGTTCGCGGGGGATGGTTGCAAAACAGTGTGAACGTACTTAATGCCCCTGAGCCATGCACTTACCAGTAGTAAGTTTTATATTAGGTATACTCACAACAACAAAAGTTTTTAAATGACGTCTCTTTCATGAAGGAATGATGGTAATTGACATTATGAGTTTACAGGATATGTTCATAATTGGCAAAAAGTCTTAAGTTGACTCTGACAACTTAAGTGTCCCACAACTGTTGAGGATTTTGCTGGCTCACGCAGTCCCAGTCTGGAAACAGCAAGGTTCTGAGGGGCTGACCTCTCCCCCAAGCTCACTTGCCCACCGTATCCTGCCTGTCGCCCGGCCTCCACCTGCGTCCCTTCCTCATACCTCAGGCGCATGCGCACTCGCTCGGTAGGAGGTGAGTGAGTGCGCACGCTCCGGGCACAATCTCGTGTCAATCTCCGCCCCTTTTGCCTGCGGGGAGGCAGCCCCAAGCTGGTGCGCACGCGTCGGGGCGAGGGGCGGGGCCCGCGCGGCTCCTCCTCAGGCGGTGGCTCTCGCGAGAGGCCGGCCCGCGATCTCGTAGCTCCCCCTCCCCTCCCTCCGCCTCCCGGGCTCCTGCTGCAGCGTCAGCCCCTGTCCGGCTTCGGTGGCTGCGGCGGCCCCAATCCCGCCGCTTCAGCCCCGGCGACCTTTGGGGCCCCTCGCCCCAGATCCGCAGCACCGCCCATCCTCGTCTCCTCGGCGCCGGCCTAGGCCGCGGCCGCAGCCCCGGGCTCGCGTCGGTGCCGCCCGCTCCCGGCCCGCCCCCTATGGGCCCCGGCTAAAGGCGCCGCCGCCGCCGGCCCGCGGAGCCCCGATGCTGGCCCGGAGGAAGCCGGTGCTGCCGGCGCTCACCATCAACCCCGCCATCGCCGAGGGCCCGTCCCCCACTAGTGAGGGCGCCTCCGAGTGAGTGGGCCGGGCCGGGACCGGGGAGAGGACAGGATGTCGGGGGCGGGGGGGTGTCCCAGAGTCGCGAGGTCTGGGGCCGGGGTCGAGGAGGGGAGAGGCCCCGAGTAGCGAGAGCTGGGAAGGGGGAGTCCCTGAAAGGAGGGGAGAGGGCCCAGGTAGCAAGGTCGGAGGAGGGGTCCCTGAAGAGGAGAGGGGAGGAGGGGTCCCTGAAGAGGAGAGGAGAGGAGAGGATGAGGCACTCTGAGTATGATATTGGCGGGAGGGGGTTCCTGAATGGTGAAATTGGGCTCGGGCAGGGTTCTTGCTGGGAGATGATGGTCTGATAGTGAATCGGTCCCTGCAGGGATAGGACGGGGATATGAGGCCCTACAGAGTGAAGCTGTGGTAGTGATCCTCACCTGAGGGGAGAGGATGGGTCAGGGGTCCCTAGTAGTGAAATCGGAGGAAGGGGGAGGAGTCTCTGAGTAGTCATGTAGAGGGAAGGAAGGGGTCCTTGCATTCTAAGAACAGGGGCGCATGGGGTTCCTGAAAGGAGGAGATGGGGCAGGCAGGGTCCCTGGGAGTGAGCATGAGGTAGGGAGGTCGAAGAAAAGGGGAAGAGGGTGCCTGAGAGATGAGGGAGGGTCTCAGGGAATTTGGGGGGAAGGGAGCCTGAGAAGATTTTGCTGGTAGGGAGAGGAGCTGCTGAACCTGGGGAGAGTAGTGAGGCGTCCTGACAGGGGCAGAGAGGCTGGAGAAGTGGGGAGTGAGGGGGATTTGGAGGGCCAGAGGTGGGGGGAACTCATATCAAGAAAGAAGTCAGGGGGCCTGCTGGGACCCCTGAAAAGCAAATGAACAGAGAGATTCTGAATTGAATAGATTGACAAATCCTTGAGGGGCTGGAGAAGTGGTGGTGGTGGTTTGAGGCCATGGAGGGGGACAGGAGGACTTGAGGGGAAAGAAGGGGACAGAGAAAGAACCTGGGCCTTTGGGGTTACCCGATGGCAGACTTGTCTTCAGAGCACATCCCTGACCTCCCCGCTTCGGTTCTCCATGCTGGAGCGGAACAGGACGGTCCTAGAAACCCCTGGCCGGGGTCTGTGTGCCTTGCTCATGGTGTGATCTGTGAGAACCCAGAGGTGATGGGAGAATGGCATGTTTGGTGCCTCTCAGGGGACTTGGCCTCCCTGTAACCAAATGATGGAGGAGCACCTTGATGCACATGTGTGTAAGTTCACATCTTTCTCTGTCCCCCAGGGTGCAGCTCAATGTGGGGACGCGTTCCTGATTCTCAAAAAATTCTCTTATTTTAGGGACTTCTCTGGCAGTCCAATGGTTAAGACCCCAAGCTTCCAATGCAGGAGACAGAGGTTCAATCCTTGGTCGGGGAACTAAGATCCCACAAGCAGTGAGGCTCAGCCCCTTCACCCCCCCGCCAGAAAAATCCACTTATTCATACAAGAGAACTCCTTCATCATAGTTGCTTTCTCTCTCTTTTTTTTCTTAAAATGTGATCTGTGATTTCCATCCCTTCAAGAATTCCCCCATTAGAAGAATCCGGCCATTGGAATTCCAGGGTGTTGTTTTGTTTTTTAATAACCACAGTGCCGTTGCCATTAAATGTAAGATGGATTAATCAGCTGACTCCAGAAAGCATTTTAGATGTCTGTTGGGCAGGCTGAAGACTTTCCAGGGTCTGAGGGTCTGGCCACAAAAGCTGCCTCTTCAGCCCGTCAGTGGAGGAGTCATGGCACATACATTTACTCCTTTGCCTCCCCTCCTCTGTCCATCACATCCTTCTTCCCCCTTTATCCAGGTCCTGGCTCAGGTGGCCGCTCCCGTGAGCCCAGGCTTTGCAGGCAGACTGGACACAGGTGTCATTCACTCCAGCCTACGCCACTTCCTTACCTGTGATCCTCAGACAGTTTACCGACCCTCTGAGCCTTCTCCCTCCCTTAAGGGCTGGAGTCTGCAAGAGACTTGCCTCCCAGGAGGACCCTGAGAACTCAGCAAACTGGTTAAAGCTCTGGTACCTGCTCGCGATGTGGCACCTACCTCCCAGCGACCTTTTCTTGCTACCAGCTCAGGTTGACATCACCCAGCGGCAGGTCATCTTGCTCTGGGGTGTCCTTTTGCTCACATCTCTTTAAGTTGTAGGCAAGTCATGATTGATCTTGGGGATTGGAAGGTTCCTGCCAGGACTCCAGTCTCCTCCTTTATCTCCTGCTTGAATCCCCCCTAAAAGGTCTTCCCCATCTGGGTGGTCAGCTTTGGCCTAAATGCCCTGGAGACTGACTTCCCTGGAAGCCCAGTGGTTAGGGCTCTGAGCTTCCACTGCAGGGGACACAGGTTTGATCCCTGGTTGGGGAACTAAGATCCCATGTGCTGCACAGGGTGGCCATTAAATAAATTAATAAATGAGTGGTGGCTGGGGGCCACTTCTTCTCTAGAGCTGCACTTAACTGTTTGGCTCGAGCCCCTGGCTCTTGACACACGGTGTGAGCAAATTCAGGGGAGCTGTAAGCATAATATGCTTTCCAGATTAGTTCATTTCACCTGATTTTTTTTTAATGTGGCTAGAATTTTTTTAATTGCACACATAGCTTATGTTCTTTTTCTTAAAAAAAAAAAAAATTACTTGGTTGCATCTGGTCTTAGTTGTGGCACATGGGATCTTTAGTTGTGGCCTGCAGGCTTAGTTGCTCCACGGCATGTGGGATCTTAGTTCCCTGACCGGAGATTGAACCCACGTCCCCCGCATTGCACGGTGGATTCTTAATCCCTGGACAACCAGGGAAGTCCCTGTTTTTCTCTTTCGGGCAGCCCCGAGTTAGTCCTTGTGGGCACTGAGCATTGAGCTCGTGTCCACCTGCTGGTTACAGGGAGCTGCCTTCAACTCCAGGATTTGGTTCAAAGTCAAGTCAGGGAAAATAGCATACTGTCATTTCCTTTGAAAGTTCCCTAAATCACCCAATAAAGTGCTATATATGTGGTTGGTTTTTAATCACCAGGTCTAGGAATGTGTGTGCGTATAAACGCCTAGTGTTTACAGTAATGCTTGGGATATAATAAGCGCATGCTGGCGGAACGGAATGCCCTGCATTTGTCTGCACCGTTTATAAATTATGCCCCTGTCTTTCCCCGTCCAGTGGCTGTGTGTAATCCATTTAAATTAGAGGCACGGGTGTAGCAGCTTCTTGTCCTCCTCTAGGTTCTGGTTCTTTGCTCTGAGGCCATTCTGAGTCTCAGTTTGCTCCTCCATCCTCATGAAAAATCCTGGGGACCTCCACTCCCTGACCCCTGGGCTTCTCCCCATGGTTCCTTCATCTCCTTCCCATGTGGCCCGAGCCTTTGTGTCAGGAAAGAGGCCTCCTGGGTCTGATATCAGAGCCATCGACCTACAGCTCATCCCCGAGATCTCCTAACCTTTATGATGTGGTGAGAAGTGGCTAGTTCTCTGGGAGGCTGGCTGTGTGTCTGGATTGTCTGTCTTTCCTACCAGATGGTAGGCTCTTGAAGCACAAGAGGCAAGTCTGATTGACCTGCTGGCCCCAAACCCCAGGGCCCGGGATGCAGTGGTGATACGGTGACCCTGGCTCAGACCGAGTCGTCTTCTGGTGGCTCGCTCACTCTGGCTCACCCTTGCTCTCGGGGTCTCTGCAGAGCACACCTGGTGGACCTCCAGAAGAAGCTAGAGGAGCTAGAGCTTGACGAGCAGCAGAAGAAGCGGCTGGAAGCCTTCCTTACCCAGAAGGCCAAAGTCGGCGAACTCAAGGACGATGACTTCGAACGGATCTCTGAGCTGGGAGCCGGCAATGGCGGAGTGGTCACCAAGGTCCAGCACAGACCTTCGGGCCTCATCATGGCCAGAAAGGTGAGCCACAGCTGGCAGTAGGGAGACTGCTCTGTGGGCGCCGGTGGTCAGTGGTCCGGGCAGGTTCCCTGGAGATGGGAGGGAAGGTTGAAGGGTGCAGGCATCTGCTTTCTGATTGACTCCTGGGCTCAGAGGCCCTATCCCCCAGCTTGGGTTCTAGTTAGACTGTGGCAATGCAGGCTTGCCTCACGCAGCTCCTCCTCTAAGACCACCCTCTGCCATCCCGGCTGTGGCTACAGTTCAGATTCACAGGAACGGACTGGCTTGAGAAAGGAGCAGATGGAAGAGAGGAGAGTCAGGTGCCCTTAGAGCCGGCTGCCCCCTGACATCAGAGCCAAAAGAAAGCTCTGCCCACCAAGACTGGCTGCTGGGAGCGACGGTCACTTTTGGGGGATGGGGTCCGAACGACACATGTTAGCCAGTGTTCTCCAGAGAGGGGGAACCTCTGGGGGCATGGAGGGGAAAAGTAGACACTGGCTCGGGCAGTCATAGGGGCTGGCAGGTCTGAAGTCGGCAGGGCAGGCCTGTGGGCTCCAGACCCAGGGAAGAGCTGATTCTGGAGGTGGATCCCATCCCTTCTTGGAAGGCTTTCACCTGATTGGATAAGGCCCACCACTTAGAGGGTCACCTGCTTCCTTCAGAGTCTGATGATTCCCGTGTTAAATCACATCTAAAAATACCTCCACAGTGACTTCTAGATGGGTGCCTGACCCAACAACTGGGTGCCATGGCCTTACCACGGGGTCATGTGAAGTGACCATCACCTCCCTGTTCAGTGCAGATCCTGATGCTGAGACAACCCTCATCGGGCCTGCTGTGTGGCTGCCCTCCTGGTCTGTGGGGGAGGGTCCCTGAGAGACATCGGGGGTGGGGAACAGGAGGAGGTCCCCACCGGGGGACAGTGACTCCTACACACGTCCTCAGGGCCGTTGTGTTGACATAGAGAGCCCCCTCTTTGGATCCCATCATCTGGACCCTGTGGTTTCTGAATTGCATTCTTGGACACCTGACCACCCCGTACCCTGGCGACGGGATCTGTGCAGGGCCCGCTTTTCCTGGGAGATGTGCACTTGGGGCTTCCGCTGGGGTCTGTCGCTTGGCTGTCTGCCTGCCGAGCCCCTCCTGAAATGTACAACCCCTCGTTTTTATTTCTGTCTGCTTTCTGCAGGCCGCCTTTTCCAAACCAGAGTAGCCCCAGAAATCCCTGCTCTCCCCGAAGCACCCCCCACTCTGGGGAACAGAAGGGCAGCCATGAAATTCAGACAGCAGTGGGGGGTGGGAGGGACTTGAACTCAGAGTGCTCCTCAGGGTCGGAAGGGTCTTCAGGTTGGCCAGGACTCTTACAGGCGGTAGATAACCTGACTTATATAACCACGGGTTTTTGAGAGTTTATCTACAGCTTTCTTAAAGCCTGTGAAGTGGGGCTTCAGAGTTTGAAGTTGGAGAGGCGGGCAGGTGTAGTCTAGCTAGTAGCCCTGCTCCACGTATGTCTGTGCCCCGCTTTGACTCCCGCCTCGGTCACAGACTCTCTTTGCTGTTTTTGCAACTTTCCTGAGCTTCTATAATCCTTTGAAAATAAAAACTTTGGTGGGGAGGGAGAGGAAGGGACTTCCCCTGGCAGTCCAGTGGTTAGAACTTGGCACTTTCACTGCCAGGGCCAGGGTTCGATCCCTCACTGGGAAACTGACTCCAAAAACAGAAAGAAAGGAAAAAAGAAGGGTCCAAAAACTGGGGGGGGGATGGGTCTGAGATTTTGTTCTGCGTCAGGCATGATCTCCTCTGGTTGCCTGTGGCCTGTGCAGCCATGCACCCAGGGTCACACAGTTCAGGGAGACCTTCCCCGGTGGCCCTGGAGCCCTCTACTGGTCTGTGGGGGTCCAGAGCTCCTGGAGGGCCAGTTCACCCCAAAGGCCTGTTTGCCGGTATCCAGCCAAGGACACAGGTGGGGAAATGGACATGACACAGTGTTTGAGGCTGTTTGAGGCTCAGTGACTTCCTTCCTCCACTACCCTTGGTGGAATTCCGAGTTCCCAGGAAGCTGAGTCTGAATTCCATGCATTCCAAGAGTGTGAGCTTATCAGATGGCTCAGGTGTGAGGGTGAAGGTGGGGCTGGCCGGCAGGATCAGCAGGGATCCTGCTGAGGGCTGTGGTCCCTCCTGGCCCTCTGATGGGCAGGGCAGTATCCTGAGCAGTTCCACACGAGCAGTGAGGCCAGTCCCACAAGACCCAAGGGAGCTGGTCTCCAAATGTTCTCTGGACTCCAGTGTGGCATCCCGACTCCTCCTGCGTCCTGAGTCCCGATGGAGTGTGTTGTGCCCAGGGCTCTCCTGATTTCCTGTGCTCCCAGCAAAGGAATGTGTGTTCAGCCTCTGTATGTGTCCCTCCCCTCAGCCCCACTGGCTTTTGGAACGGAGGTTACAGGCCTACCCAAGGCCACGTCCCAACACTGGCCACTTCTTTGGAGTGATGGCCCTGAGTCAAAGCTGGCACAGAACCTCAGTCTGCATTCTTGTGCCCGTAGACCAGCAGCTCTGTTCTCCTGAGAACCTGAGGCTGAGCTGGCCGGTATCTGGCTTGGACTTGAATCCTCTTGGGTCTGTTCTTTGCAGTTGACCTAGTCTGTGGGCACGTGCTGGGTATCCCCTCACAAGAGAGCTGGGGTTGGCCGTGGGAAGGCATGCTGTCCGAGAGCCTGCGACCAGAGCTCGGCTCTGCAGGCAACCTGCAAGTAGGGGTGGGAGGTTTTGCCTGGGGGCCTCGTGGGCACCAGGCACCGTGTTGCCAGAGTCTTCCACAGTTCTCCAGGTTTTGAGGGGCATTCGTGTGGGTCCCACACATACACTGTGCCCCATGAACTTGGCCCACACTCCTCCAATAGGCCGCTCTCTGTCCTTCCACCTGGCACCCCCACCATCCCTTGTCCATCTGGCTGAGTCCCACCCATCCTTTGAGACCTGGCCTCAGTGTCACCGGAATCCTGGGGCACCTGTCTGTGATTCCTCCATCAGCACCTCTACCACCTGGGGTTGCTCTGCCTGTGTCTCACCCATTCCCGGTGGCATGTCCCCTCCAAGCAGGACCTTCTCTGCTGTCTGCTCATCACTGGCCCTGCACGTAATCAACTGCACAGAAATGTCTGTTGAGTTGGTCATGTTCAGATAGCTGGGCTCTGGCTCTGCCTCTCTGACAGGGGTGGGTGGGAATTATACCTTTGCCTTGTTGTATCGCGGTGGCTGGGGCACCTGGGACTCTGAGCAGCCAGGTCAGCGACCTACAGCCTGGCTCTCTCCTGCCAGGCATCTTGGCTTCCTTGGAGTTTGTACCTGGGCGTTGCTCTGGGCCCTTTGTCAGCTGTCTTCTGCATCTCTAGGCGGTCCTTTCTTTCCTTGTCTTTCTAGGTATCATGATGAATTTGGTGACAATCCTTTCTGTTGACTTGAACTCAAGGGAAGGGGAGCCAGGCTCCCAGGGGGGCAGCGGAAGGCTCTCTCTGGTCTTTTGGCTGGCAGGGGAAGGGGAACCCACCCTGATGAGGGGCAGCGGTGAAGCGATTGCCCCATCGAACAGGGCACTGCTGGGTCTGCTTGTGGGAAGGGCTGACACTCTGTACAATTTGATTCACAGAGCTCCCCCTGTTACCAAGTGGACAGTGTTGCCTCTGATGATACTTTTTTTAAACACCTCTAATGAGATGTAATTCACCTACCATACAATTGACCCTTTTAGAGTATTTAACTCAGTGATTTTTAGTATATTCATGGAGCTGTGCATCCATCACCATCATCAATTTCAGAACATTTTCATCACCCCAAAATGCATTCCATCCCCATGAGCAGTCACTCCCCTGCCCCACCCTCAGGCCCTGGCAATCAGAGACCCACTGTCTGTGTCTGAGGATCAGCCTGTTCAGGATGTTTCCCATTAGTGGAATCACACCCTGCGTATCCTTCTGTGTCTGCTCCTCTCACTTAGCATTATGTTCTCAGGCCACATCCATGTGATAGCAAGTGTCGGGGCTTCTCTCTTCGTCATGGCTGAGTGATGCTTCCATGCGTGGAGGGACAGCATCCTTGGCCTGTCCCTCCTTCAGTTGATTCAGGGCGTACGGGTTGCTCCCACCTTCCAGATTCTGTGAACATTCCCGTTCAAGTCTGCACTTGGGTGTGCATCCTCGGCTCCCAGGTAGGTGAATGACCCCTCCTTTCCGGCCCCCCTCAGCCATGTGGCCCTGACCCCGCCCCCATCTCCCCTGCAGCTGATCCACCTGGAGATCAAGCCGGCCATCCGGAACCAGATCATTCGAGAGCTGCAAGTGCTGCACGAGTGCAACTCCCCATACATCGTGGGCTTCTACGGGGCCTTCTACAGCGACGGCGAGATCAGCATCTGCATGGAGCACATGGTGAGCCCACCCCGCTAGAGCCCTGGCCTGTTCCGGGGGTCCTAGTGCAGGTGGGAGGCGGTGCAGCTGTATACACACTGCACATAGCTTCCTTCGTTTCTTAAGCACCACATAGCCTCCTCTCAATTTTGCTTTCTCCCCGGATCCATGGGAGACACTGCTCTCTGTGGGCTCAGAGCTGGCCCCATCTTGTTCCCTCCGTTGGTCATCCTGGCGTCCATGTGCACCCATCGGGTAATTTATGAAGCACTATTTCCGGACACTGAGGTTGTTCCCAGTCCCTGCCGCGTTATGAATAATGCTACGTTGAAAGTCCTTGCACCTGGGACTTCCTTGGTGGTCCAGTAGTGAAGACTCTGTGCATCCGCTGAAAGGGACGTGAGTTCAATCCCCGGTCAGGGAACTAAGATCCCACATGCCATGTGGTGCTGCCAAAAAAACCAGGAAAGTCTGTGAACCTGAGCAGGCCCACCTGGGGAGGGCTGCTCGAAGAAACGCTCGAGCACGTTTCCCTGTAGCCCTGTAGCCGGAGTGTGTGGTCTGGGAACACAGCTCAGCCCCATGGGGACCAGGCCTCTGTAGTGGAGGGTGGGCGCCCATCTCCTTTAAACCATGGCTGATTCCTATGCACCCTGTCATTAAAGAACTCTGGTTTCAAGGCTCAGAAATGGGTGGGATTGAATGTCATGAAAGCAGAAGTGGTCAGAGCTGAAGGCTCCTGGAGGAAACACTGCCGGCCCTCTGCCACCCGCCCTCGGCAGGTAGAGCCCTGCCCGAGCCCAGCCGTCCAGGCCTCGGCCCTCGGGGGCCCTTGCAAAACCAGGATGCAGTGTGGCTTTTAGCAGGCAGCTTCCGTTACGCCCGGCCTCCAGCGTACCGTCCTCTCTGATGGTTTTGTAATGAAGGCAGGAAACGAATTTAAGCAAGAGCCCGCCAGGAATGCATGTGAGCCGCAGGGAGGGTTCCCCCCCAGCTGCTTTGCCCTCGCCTGGCAGTGCCCAGTGGGTGCCCCTTCCTCACTGGCGGTCGTATCTGCCCACCCACCTGGCCACCTCCTTGCAGATGAGAGTCAGGGCGAGAAATGGACGTGAAGTCACTCTGGTCTGAGGAGCCCTCTGCTGTACTGTAGTGAACCCCCCACTCCCACCCCCACCTCTCTCCTTCTTCCCTTCCCCCTGCCCCCCAACTCCTCTCTTTGTTTTTGGCCGCAGCACACAGGCATGGTACATGCAATCTTAGTTCCCCGACCAGGGATCAAACCTGCACTCCCCGCTTTGGAAGCACGGGGTCGTTAAGAGGTTAAGCTGGATGTTCCCCCAGCTCCTCTTCAGCCACCCCCACCCCTGCTCCCTGGATATCCTGAGTCAGGAGGCTCCTCTCTCCTGGCAAAGGAGAGGCAGCGTCCCAGCCCCGCCCCTCTTCTTCCCCCTCCATTCTCAGTGGGTGTGAAGCATCGGTTCCTGTGAGGCTCCTTCCCGGAGCACACATGATGCTGGGGGGATGCTGGGCTCATGCTTTAAGCTCCTGGTTGGGCTCTTCTGGTTCACTTTCATAGCAAGCATAAGAAGATGGTGGACATGTAGATCACACACAAACTCCGAGACATGGGCTCCAGTGTGGCCCGTGCACCCTGCTTTCTGCTAACAGACCCACAGAGCTGAACCTTAGGGAGGGGCTACTCTAGGCGGGGAGGGTGTGAGGCAGGACAAGACAACAGGAAGCAGTGAGAGAGCCCGAACCAGTCATGCCCTTGGGATCCTGCACTTGGTGGTGAGGGGGCACTTGCAGTCCCCCCACCTCCCTTCACGGGACTCTGGAAGAATGTCACACTGTGTCTGTCTGAGGGGGTGAGGATGGGGCAAGGTTTTGCCTGTAGGCAGGGTCCTGCTGCATTGGTTCTCCTCTCCCACCTGAGAGCTTCCAGCTCTAGCTTGTGGAAAAAGCCTCCCAGCTGTGATGAGCAACCCCAATTCAGCCCAGAAGGAGAAACTCACCTGCCAGTGCGGAAAACAGCAGAATTGGCGGCTGCCCCGGCACCCAGACCCATTCCCGGGGGAAACAAGGGGCCTGGACCAGTGGACAGTGGTGTCTCAGGGGCTGCAGTGGCCAGGGAGCAGCTGACAGACCACTCAGAGGCACCTCTTGGTACTTCTTGGCCTGCAGTCAAATCTACCAAAGAATGCAGTCCCTTTTCTACAATAATGAAAAATCAGATGTGTCCTTCAGCAAAGGGGAGGTAAAGAATGACAGCAGGCAACTTTCCAGGGGAGAAATGAAACCCACAGGTACGCTCCGGAGGAGCAGTCCTTCAGGAGGAAAGTGTGTATCATACGAACCCACAGATGAACGGACAGACAGACAGGATGAAGACGCGATCTTCCTCTGTGCACATGAATGTATGTGCAGGAGCATGGAAGAATCTGGAAGAAAATAAGTCACACTTTGGGAAGGCTGGTGGAATTGCTGGGAGATCAGGGTGCAGTTCATCTGCATTTGAATTTTTAAGAGGAATGTATCAGGTTTCTTTGGAGGTCCAGTGTTTAAGAATCCGCCCACCAGTGCAGGGGACACGGATTCAATCCCTGGTCCAGGAAGAGTCCACACGCCCTGGAGTAGCTAAGCCTGTGCACCACAGCTGAGCCCGAGCTCTGGAGCCTGTGCTCCGCCCCCAGGAGAAGCCGCTGCAGTGAGAAGCTCTCACATGGCAACAAAGACCCAGGGCAGCCAAAAACAAATTTTAAAAAATCTTTAAAAAAAGGTACTAAAAGAAGGATGCATTCACGTTCTCCCTTCTCAATGAGCGGAGGGCTTTGGGATGCTCAGAGGACACAAAGGCAAATTGAAAGCTCACAGTCATGCATAAGGAGTGAGACCCGGGCTCAGAGGGACCTTGCCGTGGGGCCTCTCATACCACATCCTGTCTGATGTCTCCTCAGCTGTGGACCCAGGGCTCCCCACTGGGCGATGTGGAGGCCCTTCATGGTTATCACAGCCAGGGAGATGGTTCTGGGGAGCAGGGATGCTGCCCATGGCGCCCAAGACGGTACCTCACAGAAAATGGCCCGTTCTAATGTTGGGGGCGAGGTGAAGAAGAACCTCACTGTGTTCTGAGCCACCTCGAGACCCCATCCTGGGGCCTCTCCTGGCCCCATCTCCGCATGAATGTTCGCCCTGAACACTGTCCCACAGACATATCACAGCCCTTCGGAAAATCAGGAGCCAAGTCGGAAAGAGAGAGACCACGATCCTTTCCAAACATTCCTTTAAGGTTGAGAACAGGAGAAGAAGGGCTTCCCTGGCAGTCCAATGGTTAAGAGTCCGCCTGCGAGTCTGGGGGGACACAGGTTCCATCCCTAGTCCGGGAAGATCCCGCATGCCATGGAGCAACTGAGCCCGTACCCCACAACTACTGAGCCTGTGCTCGAGAGCCCATGCTCCACAAGAGAAGCCACCGCAGTTAGAAGCCTGCACACGACAACGAAGAAAAGCCCTTGCTTGCCGCAACTAAAGAAAGCCCAAGTGTAATGGTGAAGACCCAGCACAGGCAAAAATAAATAAATAGTTTTTTTGTTTTTTTTTTAATGAGAAGAAAAGGAATTCCCATCTCACCAAGCATGTAGAATGGGGCTGGGCCAGCAGCCTGTCTGCTGGGTGCACCAGGCCGCCTGGTTCCGTGGGTTCCTCTCCAGCCACATCCACTGTGGGTGTGTGCACGGTCACTCGCCCTCAGTTTGGGGCAAGTCCATAGAGCCTGCATGGATTCCTAAAGTGTCAGAGGGCCTGGGGTTTTCCAGAACTCTCAGCACAGCCCTTCTCACCAGACACAGTGGGGACAGAGTGCTCAGAAGGGGGACTAGGTATCCCCGAGGCTGCAGGCTTCTTCCCCCCGCCCAGCGAAGTGAGAGGCCTCCTGGGGCAGCAGGTGGCCACAGGGGCCTGGAGCAGGGGAGAGAGAAAACAGGCTGTCCTCCCAGCCTCGAGTTCCCATTTTGACCACCTCTGCCAGCATCCCCCAGGTCCAGCTCTGGCTGCCAGACACCCTGGGGGGGTTTGCGTGTGGCCAAGCGGTGCTGTGGGCCAGTTGGCGACCCCTGGGGTTGTGGTCTCCACGTTTACACAAGACCTTGCACAAGACCCTGGGTTTCTGTCGTTTGCTCATTAGCTTGTGGATTTGGGCCCCCGCCCAGGTCGGGGAACTGACTAGGGTGACCTGTGTCAGGTCCTTTGCTGGACGTACCAGGGGCAGGTCAGTGAGCAGTGGCTGTCGCTTGCTCCCCTTCCCCTGTGCCCATCAGCCATCAGGCCTTCCTGGAGGAGCTGGGGAGGCTTCGGCCAGGGAGCAGTGAGGGAACCCATGGGCTTGGCCTCCCTTCTGCGCTAGGCACTTGTGCTGGCACCCCTGTGGCCTCGCTCCCCTTTCCACGGCCATGGCCAGCTTGCTGGAAGGGGACCCAGGCCCCAGAGCTGCGAGCCCACTCGGATACACTCTCTGGTGCTCTGGCTGTGAGCTCGACCTCTAGCCCGTGGAGCAGTGGCCTCTGTGGCTGTGCTCTGCCTGCCACTACCTGGCAGCCTCAGGAAGGTTGAGTCCTATTGTCCAGCCAGGGCCTGGGTTCCAGGAAGCTCAGCCACCTGGGAGCATGGTGGCAGCCTTTCTGCTTCTTGAACCCCTGAAGCAGTGGGAGTCCCTGCCTTGGGCCCACGAGTCGCCTCTGGCTGTGGTCTGGCTTCTTTCCTGCAGACATGAGTGGCTACCCGCTCTCCAGGAGCCTGGGAAGTGGTTTGTTTTCCAGCTTGCTGCTCTGGTGTCCCAAGGCCCCGGCCTGGCAATGGCTCAGAGCAGCTCGCCTGTCCCCTGTGCTGTCCCCAGGATGGTGGCTCCCTGGACCAGGTGTTGAAAGAAGCCAAGAGAATCCCCGAAGAGATCCTGGGCAAGGTCAGCATCGCGGTAAGTGTGTAGGCACGCTCCTGGCCCTGCACTCTCAGGGTTCATTACTGCTCTTCCCCGCTTCCAGGAGCCCCTGGAAGCCAGTGGTGGGCATCAGCATGGCCCCCTTCAAAGAGGCAGAGGTGCCATTGCCAGCCTCCACCAGCTGCGTGCCTGAGCAGGCCAAGTCCCTTTGCCCATGAAGTGAGGTAACGCTCCCCAGCCCATGCAGGCCTTGGGCGAGGAGAGGAGACGCTGTGACCCCAGACACGTGGTGTCCCACGGTGCTGTCATCGTTGACTGTGGCCTCGCTGACTCGGTGAAACAGCCTCTCCATCCTTCACCCTGTCAGCCTGGGGAGCCTGAGCACAGTCCCAACAGTGAAGGGCTTAACAGAGGATGCCCCTGGGGCCGGGATGACCTCCGGGCAGGAGGCTGGCCGGACACTTACAGCCTTAGGCCTTGTCTCAGCTCCCAGAGATCCCAGCCCCTCCTCAGACGAGAAGAGAGCATTGCCCACGTCACAGGTGGGGGGCTTTGTGAGAGTCGGTGAGGTGGGTGACTGTGGTGACTGTCTCGTGGCCACTGTGGCCTGGCCCTGGGGACAGTCCCCCTGATGGCGCCCTGTGGCTCCCCTGCAGGTTCTGAGGGGCCTGGCGTACCTCCGAGAGAAACACCAGATCATGCACCGAGGTAAGGGGAGGGCACCCCGGCCTTGGGGTGTGCGGGGGGTGACAGGTGGCAGTGTCCTCACTTCTGGCTCTGCCCCCAGACGTGAAGCCGTCCAACATCCTCGTCAACTCCCGAGGGGAGATCAAGCTGTGTGACTTCGGGGTGAGCGGCCAGCTCATAGACTCCATGGCCAACTCCTTCGTGGGGACGCGGTCCTACATGTCTGTGAGTCCTTCCTCCACCCGCTGTGTCCCTAGATTCTTCTGCGGTCCTCCCTGCCACCAACCCTGTCAGCTTTCCCCTGTTTTCCAGGTTTTCCAGAAGCCTCCTCTTGCCCATTGTGCCATTTCTGTCTTTGCTGGGTCTCTCCTCTCCTTTGAATTTCCAGTCTCCTTCGTCTTCTCACTTGGGTTTTTGTCTTTCTGCCCAGCTCCTCTCTGCTGCTAGTAAAAGTCCAGTCGGGAAGAATAGTCAGTCAATTTCTGAGTCACTATTTTAGTAGCCATCCAGACGATTTTAAGAGCAAATTGTGAGAAGTCAGTCTTGGGATTGTCCTGAGAACAAGATGTACTCTCCAGCTGTGGGTTGTGGGTCTCTGGGTCTGTGGGCAGCTGCTGTCAGCTCTGGTGGATGGAGTGGAGGGAGGAGACAGAATGGCTTGCTTTCTGTCGCTGGGTCTCTGGAGGGATCCCAGAGTGGGACAGGGTTGCAGGGGGGGCCCCAGGGTGCCAGCCCCTCTTTGTCACCCTTGGGGTGTCTCTCCCTGTCTCCCTGCAGCCGGAGCGGCTACAAGGCACCCACTACTCGGTGCAGTCAGACATCTGGAGCATGGGCCTGTCCCTGGTGGAACTGTCCATCGGAAGGTACCCCATCCCCCCGCCGGATGCCAAGGAGCTGGAGGCCATATTTGGCCGGCCCATGGTCGATGGTGCAGAAGGAGAACCTCCCAGCATCTCGCCGCGGCCGAGACCCCCCGGACGCCCCATCAGCGGTAGGGCTCCAGGCTGGGGCTTCCAGCTTGGATGGGCCCCAGAGCCTGGGGATGGCAGCTGCCTCCCCACGGGCCCCTCTCAGCACCACCTGTCCCCCTGGGCCGTACTCCCTGTGGTCAGCAGTCCTCAGATGGTCCTGTGGCTTCTGGGGACAGTGCTGCAAGTGCCCCAGACCCTCCCATCTGGGGCCGCTGCACCTGTTGCTGCCAGCTGGCTGGGTTGAGAGGCTCAATCCTCAGCCAGGGCGGGGGTGGGGTAGGGGGATGGTTTCTCCCACATTTTATCATGAGAACATTCAAGCATACGAAAAGCCGAAGGGTTGCCCAGCAAGCAGGCTTGCAGCCACCACCTGCCATGGCTGCTCTCCTGTGTCAGGTCCAGCCTTTTGGGGAGCGCAAATTGAAAGGAACTCAACTCAGGGTCTCCTCCAGTGGCTGGTGGCTTCAGCCCTGTTGCATAGCCTGGCATGGGCGAGAAGAGTTGTGTCCCGCAGAGGCCTCATGGTACCTGGACCAGCCACCTGTGAGATTCAGGCTGATGCTTGCACCATGTTGAGGGCCGGCTCAGGGTCATGGTCACAGCTCAGATGGTATAATTAGGCAACAGCACTTAGGGATCGGTGACTTTATTTTAGTTTTCTTAAGTCAGGTGACTGGAAGAGAGTTGAATTAAGTTTGAGACCAAAGGACCATGCAGTAGACTGCAGTTGGTTGGCTGGTTCCTAACAGCTTTATTGAGATAGAATTCACATAGCATAGGATCCACTCGATTCAGGCTAATAACACTGGATTTCTATACCTTCACAAGGATGTCCAACCACCACCTTATCTGAATCCAGAACATTCTCGTCACCTCAGAAGGAACCCCTGTCCCTCTCCCCTCCCCTGACAACCAGGAACCCACTCTCTGTGTCTGTGGATCTGCCTGTTCTGGATGTTTCCCATCAGTGGAATCACACCCTGTGTGTCCTTCTGTGTCTGCTTCTCTCACTAAGCGTTGTGTTTTCAGGGTCCGTCCACGTCACAAGTGTCGGTGCCTCGCTCCTTTTTTATGGTCACATAATATTCCACTACGTGGCATCTGTTCACCATGGATAGACACGTGTGTCATTAGTTGGTTTTCACAATATTTTCAAGCCCAGACCCTCTGCTTCCCTGCTGCCATGCTCAGACTGCTGGGCTATTGTAACCCTCCGAGGGGAGAACCCCCCCACCCAAATCTGTGTCCTCAGGCTGTGGCCCCTCCTTTCCCTGCCTGACTCCCAAATGACGCCCCAACCTTCCAGGCAGGGAGGAGCAGTGGGCTATGCCAGGCCATTCGCCTGCCAGCACCTCCCCCAGCCCGGCCCCAGCCCAAGTGCCCATTTCAGGACAGGGGACAGAAGGCAAAAGTCCAGCTGCCAAATGCAGGCCTGGCCAGCTGGGTCTAGGACAGGGGTCAGCCACCGCAGCCGGCCACCACTGTGAGCCCGCAGGCCTGGGCAAGGTCATACACACAGCTGCCTGCCCACCGCCACCCCCTCCACCCCCCACAAACGCCCTGCCTGCACCGGGAGCAGGGGTTTGGATTTGGGACAGCCCAGACGCGGCCCCATGCCAGATGTATGCCTTGTCAACCAATGTTCCTGTTTGTTTCCATGTTTGGGGTTTGTTTCCTTTTTCTCATTCACTGGAGGGTCAGGAGAGAAGTACCTTTCCCAGGAGGGCAGCCGGGCCAGGGAGCCTGCCCTGTGGTTCAGGCCGGGAGGGAGGAGGGTGGTCGGCCTTGCGTTCCATACACTCAGGCCTTGACACCAGACAGAAGCATGGTGGCCACCTGCCCATCTCACCCGAATTCATTTCTGCCCCGGGCAGGTCACGGGATGGACAGCCGGCCGGCCATGGCAATCTTTGAGCTGCTGGACTACATCGTGAACGAGGTGCGTGCCCAGAGCCCCACTGGCAGGTTTCCGCACCAGCGGGAGTAAGCTATTCCTGTTGGAAGGCGTTCCCCGCCCCCCGCCCCCCAGAAGAGAATTGGACACATAGACTGTGGGGTGTGTGGGGGAGGGGCTGCAGGGAGAGATGGAGACCACTGTCTTCAATAGGATGTTGTTACTAGGTGTGAAGACGTGTGGCCTCACTTCTACCTGCGATATATAGACCTACTCTCCCCAAGGGGCTGTTTTCTTATCTTTATAGAGACGAACCCAGAATTGTCACTCTGAGCCCGGGGGCTAAGTGCCAGGGCCCAGGCGCTCTGACACCTGTCACTTCCTTCTCTGAGCATCTTAGTGTCTGTGTGTGAGGTTGTGAGTCCTCCCACTTCCTCAGAGATGGTTCAGGTGTCCCCCTCCCCTCAGGAAGCCCCAGCCCATGAGAGTGCAGCATGGATGCCCACTGTACAGATGGGTACATCAAGGCATGAGGAGGGGAACAGCACAGGGCCCAGCAGGAACTGACCCCAGAGCCAGCCCTCTCAGCAAGGCCGCATCACTGTCCTGGGCCCTCTGGGACAGACATGGTTTCTGGTAGCCCTGGGATGTTGGGGTGGCTGGCCTTGGCCCAGGCTTAGTTCTCAAGGTGAGCAGCTCAGAGCAGGGTCAGTGATGACAGAGCTGGGCGGGTGGCTCTGATGAGAGCACTTCTGCACCCAGCAGCACTGCCCGGGCTCGGCTAGCAAGTCCTTCCCAGGAGGTGGAGGAGTGGGCTCCCCCAGTTTGCAGGCCCAAACCCCAGCAGCTGCTGCCTCCCTGAGATCCACACCCTCAGCTCACTCCAGGCACTTTCAGAGGGGGCGGACGGGATGGCCCCTTCTTCTCTCCAGAACCAGCTGTGATCCCAACATGAGAGCTCTTGAAAGAAAACCTGGGAAGAGGCCGACCCAGGTGGCAGGGCAGGCAGCAGGGCTTCCAGGGAAGCTGCTGGAGGGCGTAGGATGGTGCCTTCTGCCTCCATGAGAGGTGTCCTGAGGTGCCGCACGGCTAGGCGGTGTCTTTCCCCCTGATTCCCAAACCGTCCTTGACCTCTGACCCCACCCATCTGGTCTGTCCCTCAGCCTCCTCCCAAGCTGCCCAACGGTGTGTTCACCCAGGACTTCCAGGAGTTTGTAAATAAATGGTAAGATGGGGCGGGTGGGGGGAGCAGGCTGCCTGCTTCCTGGGGTGACGGCCAGGGCCTCAGATGCTAGATGATGGCAGCATCTGGTGGGACTTGAGCTCACCTGAGAATCGGTCCCCCTCCCAAAGCTGCTGAGTCTCATCCCCAACTCATCCCCACCACCCCAAGTGAAACCAGACTCTCTGGAAATCACACAATTTCCACCCTGCCTTCTGCCAGCAGGTACCCCAGTTTGCTGGCCCTTTAAGCCCGTCACCTCCCAGCTCCCAGGTCAGCCTTCCAAGCCTGTTTCAAGGAGACAGCCCTCTTTCCCCTCTGTGGGTGATGCGGCCTCAAGCCAGCAGACCGTGGCCCCAGAGGGCCGGTATGCTGGGCGCCCCGCGTGTTCAGATGCACACATGGCATCCCGGGCTTGCATGTCCTGCAGCCGATCTGTGCTGTGGGTGCCGCCATCCCCCACTACCCTGTGAACCTCTCTGTGCCCCGGGAGGCTGTCAGCTAAAGAACCACCACTCAGCCCTGAGCTGCCCTGAACAACTGCCTTTACATAGTTCTGCTTTTCTGAAGGAAAAACATCCATTTTGACACTTGGACTTGAGCTTGGGGTTTTTTATTAGACGTTTAGCTGCGGTTGCTACTAGGCCTCTGAGCGAGCAGCAGCCTGGGGCTTTCCCACCCTCTGTCCCTTTCCCTCTTGTCCTGGCCCCAGGCCCTCGCCCTTCCTTCCCGGGCCAGGCATCCTGCTCTCACACCAAAGGGTGCAGTGGGGCCCCTCGCCCCCACGGTCCAGGCGGCCAAGGGCAGAAGGATGCAGCCTCCTCCCCTCAGCACTGACTGCCTTCTCCTCTCTCCCACCTCCTGGGACCCACAGCCTAATTAAGAACCCAGCTGAGCGAGCGGACCTGAAGATGCTCATGGTGAGTGACACCCAAATTTTGAAGATTCGGGGGTCCCTAGCAGGCCCTCTGTGCCCCAAGTGAACACCTGAGCAGGCTCTGATGACGTGGGCTGGCATATGGAGGCCAGGCAAGCTGGAGAACCCATGTGGGTCTCCCTGGCTCACTGGAGGGTTCCAGGCAGACCAGCCGAGGTCCCCGCAGCTCCCCAGGGACAGAAGGGCCTGCGTGACCTGGGCTAGGGCTCAGAATGAGTGGCCTCTGAGGCGTCAGGGGCACCATGGGGGTATCTACCTTTAAACCATGCTGCTCGATGTCCTTGGAAACCAAGGTGGTCACCAGAATTGACCTTCTACCAGCAGGACTGCCTGCCAGCCTTAGGTGGCCATCACAGCACCTTCCACCCATGTCTGCTGTGGACATTAGGCCTTCCTCCATTGCTGGGTCTGACTATCTGAGTCACCCCTGATGCTAAGACAGACAGCCCCTTATTTACACGTTTTATGTCTCAGAAAGAAAACACTTCCAGACATTCTAGGTGTACACAGGGGGAGAAGCAGCCTCTTGGGGTGGCTGCAACGTGGAAGTGTGAATAACCTAGCCACGCCTCCTGCTGGGCTTCTGTGCCCTGCCCAGTGCTGCAGGGGCCCCCCGCCCAGCCTCCCTCCAGCTCTGCACCTCAGGACCTTTGCACAGGATGGTCCTGATCCTCTGGAGACGTGTCCTGTTGCTCTCTCCCCAGCTGTGGCCCCTGCTCCAGCACCTTCCCCAGAAAGGTACCCTCTGAGCCCACCTCTGTTAGCTGCAGATCCCGGCTGTAGTTAGTCTGCTGTGACCCCAAGTGTGAGCCTGGCCTGGCACACCTTGTAGGGCAGAGTCAGCATCAACCTGCTTCTTTCTAGAAGCTCCTTATTGAGTCCAGTGATGTGTGTTTGGGGTATGCATGACAAAAGAAGCCCACGTTCATGGTGGAACATTACAGACCAAGGGAACAGCAGCACAAACTCTGAAACCCCCACGGTCTCCCCTCCAGCCCAGCTCTGTGTCATTCACACAGTTCAGGCCCACATCCAGGTCTCTGCCCAGGCGACACCATGCATTGGGTGGGGCTGACTGCTGTCTTGACTGCAGGGACCCTAGTCCCTTGGTTTGTTTTTTTTCACCCAAGCCTGAGCCCCCTTTAGAAAGGTGGGAATGGTTGTGCCTCCCCAGGAGTGAAAGAGACAGATGTCATTTGGGGGCATAGACTGCCCCCCCACCCTTCTGAACCAGGAACCTCTGGCGATTCCAAATGGGAAGGGTGACTGTGAGGGTCACTTAAACTGACGGAGGTGCGATCCTGCTCCCCAGCCACACAGGCCCTATTTCCAGGCTTAGGAGCCTCCTCAGCTGGTAGTTGCCGCCCGGACAGGACACACGGGGAACCTGCTGTCCTTACTGAGTCCTGTGGTTCAGTTCAGATGTCCTCACGCAAGCAGCCCTGCCTCCCATGACATGGGGCCACACCTGGGGACATCTGTGGTTGTCGCACTGGGGTCTTCTAGCGTCAGGTTAGGGGGAGGGGCAGGGAGGCTGCTCCACACCCCACTGCAGCACCCAGGAAGCCCCACAGAGGGTCAGCCTGGGCTCCAGGGGGGCACAGAGCGGCCTGCCCCTTGCCTGAGACCCTGTCCCACGTCACTGGCCCTGGGGTGGGGTTCCAGCCATCTGTCCAGAGCCATCCTGCTCAGGCCACTCCTTCCCTTTCAGAACCACACCTTCATCAAGCGGTCCGAGGTGGAAGAAGTGGATTTTGCTGGCTGGTTGTGTAAAACACTGCGGCTAAACCAGCCCAGCACGCCCACACGCACTGCCGTGTGACGGTGGTCCTGCTGCCGCCACCAGGCCTTCCCCCAACCCCACCCACCCCTCCTGCCATGCCCTCCGAGGGGATGCACATGTGGCCCTCAGGCCCAGGGAGGCCAATACTGCTGTGCTGTCTTCTCAGATCCTGCTTCCTTAGGTTTAAAGAAAAAGAGAAAAAAAAAAAACAGGGAAAGAAAAAGTAAATGTGCTAGTCATGCTTCTTGTTCCTTGTCCTTGGGGTCTCGATCCCCGTCCAACCAGGGTGGACGCCTCCACCAGGGTCAACCTGGGCTCCACCAGGCCCAACCCCCAGGAGACGGAGATGGTTTTGGGCACTGGCTCTGCCCCTTTCCAAGCTGTGAGGCCTCGGAGCAGCCCCCAGAGAGAGGGGGTGCCATCTTGGGGTGGATGTGTGCCCCTCGCCTGGCGTCTGTCCCTTGGAGGTGGTCCCTCCAGCCCAGAAGAACAGTCGGGTCCCCGATGGCTGTTGTGGGATCCTCTCCCTAAGCTTCTCCTGCCTCTGGCTGCACAGCCTGCCCTTGGCAGAATCTGACCTGCCCCCCAGGAGGTACCCGCCTGTCCCCTCCTGTGCTTCGGGGAGCAGACTCTCCTGACAGCTGCCTGAGCTGACACTCGCTCGGCAGAAAGGAAGCCTTGGGTTTCCAAGCTGTCGTGTGGTTGAAACCCCAGCAGATCGTGCAGATAAGGCCGCTCCCCCCACGCCTGCCGCCCGACAGATGTGGGCGGGCGGCTCTGTGTCACCTCTACTCACCCAGCAAATCAGAAGTGACCACATGGGACACGTCACTCTCTTGGGGCCTTGAACTGTCCAGCCGCAACTGATGAGAAATGAGTCGGCGGCTGTGAGGTTGTCCCAGCTCCCAGTGTCCACTGGGGTGCCCAGCCAGTCCCCCTGCCATGGTCTGCGTGAGGCTCGAAGCTGAGACCCAGCCTTTCCACCTTCAGGGCTGTCCCTCCTCCGATGGTGGAGGCCGCCTCTGAGCCATCGGCGGTAGGAAGTGGTGGAGGGCAGGGCCTCTTCTAAGGCTTCCCCTCCTCCCGGCTCTGCGAAGATGAAGCTCTGAGCCTCCCCCCGACCCCAATACTTCCTGAAGGCTTGAAACAAGTTGATACTTATCTGTGATAAGTTTCAGAGGAAGGTTCTGCGAGGGCAACGGGCCTGGGGTGAGCCACACCGGCCCTGCATTTCTGGAGAGGGGGCTGCAGAAGATGGGGGTGTGTGGCCCTGTGGGAGCTGCTGGATCCTTTTCTTCTCTGGGAGACCCTGCTAGTCTCTTGTGTGTTTTTTTCTCCGCTCTGTGGTCACCAAAGAGAAGACAAGTTGGTAGCTCTTCCAACCAGGTTTCTGCCACTTCATGGTTGCCTCTGAAATCTCACCTAATTTAGAAAAGAATAAAAAAGATAACTAAAAGTGGCAGAGGTGTGGCTCTGTGGGCACCCCGGCTCCCTCCGGAGCCTCAGAGGGGGAAGGGGACCTAACGGGTGAACTGTGACTCAGCATCTTGGCCCGTGGGCGCCCAGCACTGGCGGTCACAGACAGGCCCATGTTTGGGCCAATCCTGTACAGTCAGGCTTCGGGCCTGACTGCTTTCTGTTAATAGAGCCTACGGCCACTTGCAAGGAGAAAGAGACCACATTGGTAGGGGTCCTAGGGGTGCCAGAGAATTTGGGGTAGGTGGGGGTGAGGCCTCCAGGGTGGGTGAGGGAACTCGGAGAGGAGGATTCAAAAGCAGGCGCCTCCCCCAGCCCATCGGCTCCCCGAAGCCACTGCCTGCTGTGTCACTTCACCATCCCCAAGGGCCCTAGGGAAAGGACCAGCAACACGTGGCTTTTCCCTTTTCCTACTCCGAGGCTCATCCAGGAACATACCGGAGCCCTGGAGACCACGATGAAAGTGACTTTCAACAGCCCGAGGTCTCCTCTCTATCCCGCCCCTGAAAATGTCCCTAGACTGGCACCCTCTGCTCTGACACCCCATCTCTTCTGAGTTCGTGGGGGGTCCAACCCTGGCTGCCCCCCACAACCTGGTGGCCAGAGACTGGCCTAGGGATGCCGTCCCCTGTCCTGCCGAAGTCCTCTCCTGCGAGGGGGCAGGCTCTTATCCCTGAAATGTGTAACTTCTGTTGCTCTGGGTGTTTCCTGACATGGGGGTCCAGGCAGAAGGCAGACTCAGGCTGTCGGGTACTCCCAGGCCCATCCCCAGCTTCTTGTGAAAGACTGTTCTGTGTCAAGGTTCCTCATGGCTGTTCCTTAAACCCTGAGATGGCCAAGGGCATGAGGTGACACAATTGCCATGTCCAGGGACCCCCAGCGCCCCTCTGTCTGACCTCATGTCAATCAGGAAATGAATCCGAGAGCTTCAGGATCTCACCTGTTGGGTGTTTTCTCACTTGGGGTTTGAGTTTTCTTCACTTTGGGGGGTTTGGGGGCCTTTTTGTGTGTGTGTGTATATACTTGGTTTGGAAGAAGACACCCAGCATCTTGATGCAAGTTTCTCTTCAGGTCGAAGTTCTCTTATTAAACAGCACTGGGAAGGACTGATGCTGGAGCTGAAGCTCCAATCCTTTAGCCACCTGATACGAAGAGCCAACTCATTGGAAAAGACACTGATGCTGGAAAAGATTGAGGGCAAGTGAAGAAGGGGGCGACAGAGGATGAGATGGTTGGATGGCATCATTGACTCAATGGACATGAGTTTGAGCAAACTCCAGGAGACAGTGAAGGACAGGGAAGCCTGGCATGCAGCAGTCAATGGGGTTGCAAAGAGTCAGACATGACTGAGCAACTGAAAAACAACAGCACTGCAAGACTGTGTGTTGTCCCCTGTGTCCCCAGAGAGCATTCTCTGTCTCTGCATGGTTCTGACCCCTGAGCAGCTCACAGATGACCTTGGAATAAGTGAGAAGCCAGAAAAGATGGCTCAGTTTAGGCTTCTACCAACCCCAGCCGTGGGGCAGGAGCCATCTAAAAAGCTTAGGGTCACGGCTGAATGCCTGTTGGCTTTGACCAACAGGAATTCTCAAGTGGGACCGGCCCTTGCCCTGGGAACTTCGCACTCCCTTCTCTGAGCATTAAAGGCATTCCAGGGGTGGTGTGAAAGTTGCTCGGTTGTGTCTGACTCTTTTCGACCCCATGGACTGCCAGGCTTCTCTGTAGATGGAATTCTCCAGGCCAGAATACTGGAGTGGGTAGCCATTCCCTTCTCCAGGGGAATCTTCCCAACCCAGGGTTCAAACCCAGGTCTCCCCCATTGCAAGTGGATTTTTACCACCTGAGCCACCAGGGAAGCCTAGGGGTGGGGCAGAGGGAAAATAGAAGGAAAAAAGGTGCTTAGTTAGAACTGGCAGGCAGATTCCAAGTGGCTCTGTGCCCGTGTGCCTGCTGATATCACCAGGACACACGTGCATCGTTCAACTGCAAGCAAAACTTAAATTTCCTCACTGATCACGTTTAAAACGAGGTAAGGAAAAGAAACAGGTGAAGGTAATTTGATGATGTGTTTTATTTAACCCGTTATAGCCAAATATTAGGATTGCACTTCACAATCAACATGAAATATTTGTCTGGTCTATTGCTTTTTTTTTGGGGGGGGGGTGGAGGAAGAAGGTACAGAGTCTGCAGTGCTCTACGTTTTGCCCTCATGGTGCATCTGAATTCAGATGTCCTGCATCTCCAGGTCTGGCCACACGTGGCCAGAGACAGCTCTGTCCCCTCCCAGCTGGGTCTCAGTGGGGACAGTCTTGCCTCCTTAATCCAGAGGACACTGGTGTCTGGGGACACATGTGAACATCACGGCAGGGGGGTGGGGAGCTCCTGGCATCCAGTGGGTGGAGCCAGGGATGCTGTTTCACCCCCACTGTGCCCACGAGGGGCCTTGCAGAGAGTAACCCGGCCTGGCATCCGCAGCGGAGGGAGGAAGCTGGTTTGGGCCCACACCCCTCCCGGAATCCGGTGGTGTAGGAGGGCACAGTCCCGCAGCACTGGAGGTCAGACTCTGGGTCTTCTCTGTCCGGGGCAGCCCTGCCTGAAGCTACCAGGTGTCCTGTGTCCAGAGTTGGGGACACTGTGGCAGGAAGGTTCCAGAACCTTCTGGACGGTGGAGAGTCAGGAGAAAGGCGCTCAGCCGGCCCGGGGCTTAGAGGTCTGTGCGAGCAGGAAGCCTCTGGTCCTGGGAGGCGGAACTTCGTGGAGTCCGGGTTAACAGAGTTCAGTTCAGAAGAAGCTGCCACTGGGTTTCCCAGAAAGCAGGGGGGTGGGGTGGGGGGGGTGTCGGGTGGGCGGAGTGGGAGTGAGGAAGGGGAAGGGACCGCCTCAAAACGAAACCAGCAGGGGCCCTGCGGGCCTCGCCCCGCCTCCCCTGGGGCGGCAGCTCCCAGCTGACCAGGTGTGTAGGCCCTGGGGCCTCCCTGGGGCTTGGAGGCCACACCTCAGAGCCACAGGCCAGGTGGGTGGAGGACCGGTGTGCAGTCCCCGTGGTAAAGGCAAGGTGGCTCTGGAGGAGGAAGGAGGGCGGAGTAAGAGGCCAGGCCCCACGACAGCCTGAACTGAGGCTCAGGTTTCTGCCCAGCCTTCCCCGGGGACTCAGAGAGGCTGGTGGAGAAGCACCTGGAGAATCAGAGCCAGGCCCCAGGTGAGGGAGGGACCGAGGCCCGCAGCTGTGTCTGCTCCCCGCCCCCATCCCTCCCCTGAACCCACCCCTGGGGAGGGTATGCCCCCTGAAAGGAGGGGTCATCACCGCGGACTAAATGAGATGGCTACTGCTGACCCCCGCGCCCCCCAAGAAGGAAGCAGACCCTCTCTTGAACATCCCGAATCCCCTTTGCCTACACCCTGGCCACACCCCATGAGTTGCTCAGAACAGGTAACCGGCCCCGCCCCCCCCCCCCCCCCCCCCGCGCTTCCCTCCCTGAGCCCTCGTGACCTGGGACCTATCCAGAGGCTCCGACTCTCCCAGACAGATGCTGACCCTCCCCACACCTCCACGCCCTGCGCACTGGAATGAGCTCACAGCATTAGGGCAGCGCTAGGCAGGACGCCATGGACTGGGTGTCAACGTTGAGAGTACTTGGGGGGCACAGAGTGGGCATCCTGACAGGAGAACCCTTGTGAGCAAGAGCGTGGTGATGGGTCCTGCAAAGTCGCTTCAGTCATGTTCGACTCTTTGTGCCCCTGTGAGCCGTAGCACGCCCAGCTCCTCTGTCCATGGGATCGGGTGCAAAATCTTTCACCACCTCCAGCAGAGCAATGACCACTCTCCTCATGAGCCCAAAAGGGAGCCTCAGCTCAGAAGATCTGCTTCCACCGTGCCTCCTATGGACTGTTTAATTCTGGAGGTGGCAGATAGGGTGGCGGAGGTCACAGAGACTAGGATGTTGGCTGCTTACCAGGTGAACAGAAGCCTGTCTTCATTTCAAACTCCACGGGCCTTGGGTGTGGGACCAGGTGGTGGCCAAGTAGGGAGCCGGGTCACTAGGATATCTAGCTAAGAAACTGGAACTTTGGAACTTCCCTAGTGGTCCAGGGGCTTAGAGA